GAAGCTGAAAACAGAACGATCACTACAAGTTCAAGCTGTATAGTGAGACCCTGTATCAAATACATAAAAATAGAATGTTGTATGACAGTATACTTCCTGCTTCTTTCCTCACTCAAGCCAGTAAAATGGACTTTTTCTTTCTGTCTTTTTTTTGGGGGGGGGGGATTTTAGGGAAGGGTCTACAGGGTGTTTAGGGTATCACTACTAGATCAGACTCCTAGTGACCCGCCTGTTTACAGCCTCCCAAGAACTGGGATTACAGGCGTGTGCCGCCACGCCCAGTCTCAATTACAGTCTCTGTGCTCCTGGGGTAGGACCAACACGGCAGGCCTGGGAATTGAACCCCTGGCCCCTACACCTGCTTGCAGGTGCTTAATCCACTGAGCTATTTGGCCAGCCCTTGGACTTTTTCAAGGATGGAATTAATGCTTAAATTTGAGACTGGAAAAGTCATACAACTCATAGCTACCCTCCTTTATCAGGAATTTTTAAAACCAGAAAGGTCTTCATCTCTGAAGATCTGACCCATTGGGTTATTTTACTGCTCTTTTTATATAGTCACTGCTAGAGTAAAATTTGGAGTTAGAATTTCTGTGGGAAAGGGATAAGTTTTCTTTGGTCTTCTAAGAGGATACCACCTAGGGCAAGTGTCCTTTAATAATAAATGGCCAAGGAATGAGATGGATCTGAGACTCTTGGTGCTGCGAGATTCTTGTCAAAACCTTAAATAAGTTTCGGCCATTGTACGAGTCACCCCTCCCACAAGACAGGGTAACCTTATTTCCAGATCATGTTCCCGAAGTCCCCTGGTGGCTTCTGGTGTGAACGGAAGTTCATAGGAATGCACTTTGCAGGGGTTCTGTCCCCAGCTGCCTTTGCTGGGACTCCACGGTTTAGACTCATTCTGTGCAGGAGAGCTGTCTTCTGGTTCACTCGTGGTTGAGCGGCCACCGTTGTAGTTACAGAGTGACACAAGGTGGCACAACATGCACAAACTGTTGACAGTGCCGTGTGCAGAACAGGTTTTTAAATTCATTGTATGGAGAAACAGTGGCTACTCCTCTAAGTAACCCCCAGGTATGCTTGATACCATTTTCTTCTACTGTGGGAACTAGACGGGAACACCTGACTTGACACATTTATGTTTGTTCCATTATCAGCTCCACATCTCTGTTTTTGCTCTAGTGCCTTCTGGGGGACTTGAATTCATCCTCTCTCTGTATAGCAAGCAACACTTTAAAAAAATAGCTGAAGTGAGACTAGGCATGGTGGCATGCACCTGTAATCCCAGTGCTTGGGAGGCTGGAAACAGGAGAATCACTGAGTCCGATCCATGTAGTGAAACCCTGTAGACCCTGTCCTAAATGCAGAAAGAAAAAAAAAAAAATAGCCGAAGTGAAGCGCATCTGCTGCCAGGGTTCCTGCTGTGCACCCTTGCAGTGATGCACAAAGCATTTCCAGGTGCCAAGGGCTGGTGCTAAAGACAGCAAGCCAGTGTCTCCCTGTGCAGAAGGAAGTAACTGCATCCACATGGCCATGGTTGTCTCACCAAAAAAAAATGCCTTTTTGACATTTTGTCTGAAAGCCAATGTCTGTATCCAAGTATATCAGATTTAATAAGCTGCCTCCTCCATTTTGAAGGTGGTCCTGAAGTCTCCCCAACACAAGCAGGCCAGTTCTTTGAGAGGCCTTTTTGGCCTGCAGGAGCTTTGCATGCTAGGAATGCCACCGGTGCCTGCGTGCATGTAGACCCTGTCCGTGTGTCTGTGTGGGTCACTTTGTCCTGATTTGGTGTCACTGCATTCACATTCTGTTCCAGTGGCACTCAGAAATCCCTATGTGTAGCAAGTCTGGGCTCCATGGGTCCCTCACTGAGAATCCAGGTTTGGTCAACCTTGTGGCTTTGATTCTGCCTGGGCCAACAGCATGCTTTCCAGAAAGGAGGGGTACTGCAGGGCGACTCCTTGCTCCTGGGCTCATCAGTTACTTACTGAAACCCGGGAAAGCAAATGCTGTTGAGAGAGGTGTCTTTGCCTTGCACATGGCATTTACTGTTTAGAGGAAAGAATCTCATTACTAACCAAAAATGTCATCTGGGAGAGGAGGGAGCAGGTAGGACCCTCACCCACACCCTAGTCCATCCTGCAGTCATAGTTACAGCCAAATTAACAATAGCTCAACTGTTAAACCCTTGGCCTTGCGTGTAGTAGGCAAGTGCACTTCCCCCGAGCTGCCCTCCATTTCTGTTGCAGTCTTTGAACATTCCTGGAAACCATCTTTTCCACTAAGAACTGGCCATCATGTTGCCTCTTCTCTGTCAAAAACTTACCCAGGCAACTATTCATTAATCTTTTTACTTCGATTTATAATTTGACTCAGACAAATTGTTAAATTCTGTAACAAATGAAAGAAAGGCAGTTCCAGAAGAAATTAGCAGGGAGTCCACTCTCTGGACTCACTCAGGGAGTGCTGGGGCTTTGTGGAACCTGCTGCAGGCCATGTTGCCCGGCAGTGACCTCAGGGCTCCCTGCTTGTGCCACTCAGAGCGTGTCCTGACTGTCTAGGAACGCTGTTTCTCCCCAGCTGTTGATGCCGACCTGGCTGGAACACCTCTGAGTCTGCTGCTGGCATGGGTACTTTGAGAAGCAGTCCATTGCATTGTAGTAAAAAGGCTCTTTCAGAATCCATTGATCCCTCACCTGGTTCCTTCATGCGTGTCCTCAGACTTTGGCTAGCTATTATTTTTCCCATCCCCCTAATATTCTATAAACAGACACTCATCCCTCATTTCCTTCCCGCCTTGCCATCCCAGGATGTCATTTCCTTTCCACCTGCAGCGCCCTAGAGGAGCAGTTAGCAGCCTATGCCCTCAGAGTTTTGTGACCTTCCCTGATACTTGGCTCTCTTGAGTTACTTTTCCTCATGTGTATAACAAAGGGATCCCTCAGCATAGGTTAAAATTTTATAAGTCTTGAGATTTTTCTTTTCTCTGAGGCTGTTAGATAAAGTACAGGATGAACCACCCCCAGTTCCTATGTGACCTGGGGCCAGGCATGTGACCAGTGCAGGGGCACCTGACCCAAAGGCCCTGCTGGGTACCAAGGCGTGGGCAGGTGGTGAAGTGTCTTAGGTGGTCAGAGGGGCATGGGCTTTTCCAGACCTGTACTTTCCATTGAAAATGTTAATCAGTCACTTAAGATATCATTGGATGATAAAGATGAAAAATCAGTGACTTTTGTTGTTTTGTACCATTGTAGCCAAAGGGTGTGATGATAGCTTATCTCTTCGGATGCCAGGTGGTGGTTGTTTCTTAATAAACTGTTTGATAATTGTTTTTAAATCTGCATAAAAAAGGTGAGGGTAGTACAGAGAATTCCCATGTATCCTGCACCTAGTTTCCTGTTATTAATGCGTCTTAAAACTGATGAAGCAGTACTGATATGTTGCTAGCTGACATGCATACCGTACTCCGATTTCCTCAGTTTCTCCTGTGGCTCCTTTTTCCATTCTAGGAGCCCAGGCAGGGCACTGTATTGCACTAGGTCATCACACTTCTTTGAGGTCTTCTTGATGCTGACAGCTTTACGTTTTCTTTGTTTTTGTGGGCCTTGGCATTTTTGGGAAGTCTCTGTAGGTTCTGTGTAGAATGTCACGAGGCTGGGGTTTATCTGGCCATTTCCTAGGATTAGACTGGGATTCCGGTCTGGAGGATGCGAAGGGTCACACAAGTCGATGCTCTTCACATCTGTCCTAGCTACTGTTCTTGTTGCTGAGACACAACACCCAATATCCACATTTTAAAAGAGGAGAGATTTGTTTTTGGCTCATAGTTCGTAGAGGTTTATATGCTGGCTCCAAGGCAGGATGACATGGGGCAGGCGTCTAGCAGACCAAAAAGCCGGGAGGAAAGCATGAAACCAGAGAGGGAGATAAGCTCTTCCAGGGTGGACCTTGACCAGATCCCACCTCCTAAGAGCAAGTCAACAGTAAGCCCTGACAATCTAGTCACCTTCCAAAAGCCTCACCTATGAACCCAGGGGGTTCCTGGGAAGATCTAGATCTGAACTATAGCATTGCCCCATCATATTGTCAGCATGACTTTGTATTGTTGCGGCTGACCTGGATCTCCTGAATGAGACCATGTTTCTCAGGACTGGGGTGGTGTCACCTGGGGCAGGTGGGCACATAGGAGAGTACTTGAAAGCTGCCCAGGCATCACAGTCCCACAGTGTGCCTTGTATCCATCCTCAGGTCCTCATGGGGCATGTTCCATGTGACAATGGATGATGTGAGCCAGTGTGTGGTGAGCATGTGCCATCTTTTCTGAGTAATCAGGAGCATGTCACACAGCACACTGCACCAACACTTGGGCACAGGACAGAGGGCTTCCTGGAATACTGACATTTATAATGAGCTCGCATTTGGAACAGTTCCACATTATTCTGTTCTGGGCCCAGCTCTGAAAGTGGGAACAATATGGTTCTTGCCTTCACAGTGTCCCAGAAAGATATAGAAGATACTGTCATTGTTTTCATGGCTTCTAAATTTTAATTGGTACAGTTTGGGTTGCCTTACATTGCAGTACAGTAAGTTATATGATACTAAGGGCAGAAACATGTCATTAATTGGTCTTTCCTATTCTACATAACTTTGGCCCTTAGAAGGCTCTCCATTGAGAACTGAAAAAAATCAGAAGATCAGAGACCTCAGAGTAAAGGCAGCTGGGTATGTGGGATTGTTTCTGTTTGCATTAGACAAGACTTAGGTTCTAGTGCCTGATGGTAAAGTCTTTTTTGGTACCAGTAATTGAACTCATGACCTCACACTTGCTGGACAGGTACTGTGCCACTGAACTATCTGCCCATCCCCACTGATGGGAGAACACTAAGATAGAGAACCTACTCGTTGTGTTCCAGTTGCACACATGAGGAGGCCAGTGGCGGAGACACATGGCAGAGACGGAATACCTTAATTCTTTTCTTTTCATTTTTTCTTGACAGACTCGACCAGCACGATGGGGTGTAAAGTCCTGTGTAGCCTTGGTCACCAGATGCTGCGACGCAAGGTGGTGGACTGCAGCAGGGAAGAGAGCCGGCTGTCCCGCTGCTTAAATACCTTCGACCTTGTGGCCCTCGGGGTGGGCAGCACCCTGGGTGCTGGCGTCTACGTCCTGGCTGGAGCTGTGGCCCGCGAGGACGCTGGCCCTGCCATTGTCATCTCCTTTCTGATTGCCGCGCTGGCCTCGGTGCTGGCTGGCCTGTGCTATGGCGAGTTTGGTGCGCGTGTCCCCAAGACTGGATCAGCCTACCTGTACAGCTATGTGACTGTGGGTGAGCTCTGGGCCTTCATCACCGGCTGGAACCTGATCCTCTCCTACATCATAGGTAGGTCCCAGCCAGCCGCACTTGTGCCCTTCATCCCCTCCTGGAGGTGTCCCTGCTGCCTGGACAGACTCTTAGCTTGACTGCCATACATCCTGACTTTTATGAAAGGTTCTATGCTGACTGTCACTATTGCTGTGGCAATGGCTGAAGGGGGAACAACCCATGCCTGTGAGGAGTGTCTTTCTATAACTGAGAGGCGGAGTTAGTCAGATGCTTCTGTGTAATTAGAAAGTAACTCATTCATGTAGTATTTTTTTCTGATTATTAGATATATCACCTACAGATAAAAATTTAGGCAATACAATAAAAAGCACAGAGAAAAAAGAAATAGCCAACCTGACAACCCAGAGAATATTCTTCATTCATTTTTTCTTTCTTGCAATAAATACAGTATTTATTGAGTGATTGCTCTGTGCTGGGCATTTTGCTGGATGTTAGGGATTAGGGGAGTAAGAGTTTACTGTCAGGGCTGGGGAGATGACTCAGTGGAATAAGTGCTTCCCTGGCAAGCTCAAGCGCCTGAGTTCAAGCCCCAGTTCCGAGAAAAAAAAAAAAAAAAAAAAAAGGTTACTGTCTAGAGTAAGACTTCATATTTTTGAGAATTTATAGTAAACAAATTTATATAAACTTGCTGAATGGCCTCGTGGGATGTTGAGACTGGTTCCAGATATGTTGATGTTGTTATAAATTACAGTTAATTACTTTGTCTTTAGACATGGCCATAATTTTTTTCCCTTAAAAACTGTCTAAAAAGCAAAGTACATATTTTCAAGGGTTTTGTCAGTGCTCTCTTCATCCCGGCATGGGTCCCTTTCCTCACAAAGCTGGACATTAGTATTAAAGGAGCCTTCCAACAGAGAACCAAAAGTAATAGTTTTTTCAGTTTGGTAAGTAAAAATGTGCACTCTCTTGTGCGTTTATTAAACAAAAGGTCCCTCACATGAATTTCATACAGTGTTTATTAGCTATTAATGTGGAAACAAAAACGGTAGGTTTGAGTGCCAAGACATGGTGCCGTGAAGACTTGGTGCGCCGGATGTCTTTGTGCTTCTTCTTTTGTGACTGAAACTGAAGTTTGCCATAGCAAGGTAAAAGGAAGAAGCACCTGAAGAGAAGAACTGGCAAAGCATGTGAATGACTACTCCACGGGGGCAGAAATACAGGTGACATTCTGTCTGGTTCTTAGCAGACTTTCTTTACTGTTGCCCCAAAACTTGTGAGGTGTGCTAGGTGAAGCCTCGTGGCTCCTGCTTGCTTCTATGTCCGTTCCCTTGGGGGCCCCTGTGCGTGATGCTGGGTACTTCCCACACCCCATGTGGTTATGGGATCTTCACGCAGGGACCCTTGAGGTTCTTGGGGCCTCTGCTCTTGAGTAGGAGCCACGGCCTGTGCCTCACCTGGCAGAAGCAGCGCTTGTGCGCAGACTCTGTGGGGCATGTTCTTTTTTCTCAGCTCTAGTCTCTGCTGAGAGCTGATGGAGCTTCCTCTTTGTTGTTCTAAAACAACATTTTTGACATTTTTCTGTGTAACATCAAAACCACAACATTATAACATTATAACCACAAAAGGCCTTACACACTGAGGCCCCTCAGTAGGAATGTAGCTGTTCTAAATGGACTGTTATGTTTCCAGAGGATTTACCTGGGCGTAAAACAAAACACTGAGCAGGAAATGTTTGCTCTTCTAGACCCAACACATAAAGAATCTTTGCCAGATGCCATTTGCCTGTATAGGAACTCATTCACGTTTCATGGAAACTTAGCCTTAGCTACTGTGAAGAATAAATTTTCCAGCAAATTTTTTAAAGCTATGATTCAGAAATGAGAAGGGGATCAGCTAGGAAGAAAGACCAGGCAGTCCCTGGCATGCAGCAGGGTCAGGTTTGGGAGCCCTAGTACAGTGAGTTGAGGTTGCCTAGGGGTACTTGGGAGATAGTGAGACCATGTATCTTCCTTAAGGTGTGACCTTCGTGGACAGAATTCCTAATAGATTGCTGCTCAGGACAGAAAATGGTTAAATGTTTGAGTTTTGGAAAAAGACTTAGCATGAAAACAATAATGAAATTGGATCTCTTTTTAGATCACTTTGCAAAAATTCTGTGGATAATTCAGACCATAGGGGCCAGGAAGGCCCTTTGAAAAGAAAGGAAAATGCTGGATGCAGATAATAGAATTTTAGTGACATTTCCTGACAAACCACTAGAAAAGCAGAGGCTCTCTGCAAATTTGAGAGAGAGAGAGAGAGAGAGAGAGAGAGAGAGAGAGAGAGAGAGAGAACACGAACACGAACACGAACACGAACATACGGGCCATTTGGGTATAGCCTCTGCTTGCATTCCTTGTGGCTGGGAGCTGCCAGTTTGTGGAGATGGGACTACTTTAATGATGGTCATGAGGTCCTGAGCTGTTGGGATGCTGGCCTCTGGGTCAGATGATGTGAACCCAGGCTTAAGCCCAGAGTGGCGAGTAGTCAATGCCTGTTCTGGTCTGAGTAGTGTCTTTGTCCCAGAGATGGGAGTCAGCCTCCTTGCAGATCTCCTTAAGAGAGGAATTCTGTAGTGCAGGACTCCAGCATCAGTGCTGTTGCTGTGGAGTTTTGCAAAAGTTTTTCCTAAGATGAGTTTCTCCAGCCTGCTGACCGTGCTTTGGGGTTTGCATGAGTCAGTTCTGGTGTTGTCACCAGTATTTATTATTTTTTTAATGAAATCAAATAGCTAAAATTGGGCCATGGAGATAGCTTAGTGGTGTAAGCCCCTGCCTAGGCAAACACAAGGATCCCCAGTGCTGTACTGGCCCCACCCCGGACATGCTACCCCACCAAGACTGGGCGTGGTGGTGCCTGCCTATAATCCCAATGCTGGGGAGGCTGAAACAAGAGAATTAGTATGAGTTCAGGCTGTGTAGTGAGACTGTACCAAATATGTAAAATTCAAAACAAAAAAAAAAAAACCAGATAGAATTAAATAAATGCCATCAGAGTGCCTTAGTGGAAAGGTAAACTTGTTTTGTAAACTTTTTTCCTATCTATCTATCTATCTATCTATCTATCTATCTATCTATCTATCTATCTATCTCTCCATCTTATCTTATCTATCATCTCCTTCCTGAGTTTCTAATACACAGACAGCTGCCTCTCAGCTTACAGTGGGGTACACCTTGAAAAACTACTACTGAGACTACTGTGATTTGGAAACTCAGTGCTACACCTAACCACCCTGGCCTGGTCGGCAGCATAGCCAGCTTGCAAACCTGTCTGGTTCTGGAGCTGACCCAGAGCTGTGATAGCTGTCTCTGCCTAGCATTGAGATAGGGTTTTACCAATGGGACCAGTCCCAGAAGAGATCCAAATTCTGAATTCAAGTTTAGTTACATGTTGTTTTATATCATCTTGAGTTGAAAAAGCCTACGTAGAACATCTGTGAATCATAGTACTCGTTCATAGCTGAAACATGTGATATACACACGTATCGGGTTAAGATAAAATGTACTTGCTTGCAGCTCTTATGAATCTTTGCTTTGTACTTCACTCCAAACACTAGCTGATGCTCCCTCTGGCTTAGAGCACTGGGGACTTCATGCCATCTGTGAACTGTCATGCATACCATAACTGTCAAGCTTGGTGATGGGCACTGTTAACTGTTTGAATGACAACTGTGTGTTTTGTGGCAGGTACTTCAAGTGTAGCGAGAGCCTGGAGTGCGACCTTTGATGAGCTGATCGGCAAACCCATTGGGGAGTTCTCACGAAAACACATGGCCCTGAATGCCCCCGGCGTGCTGGCGGAAAACCCTGACATATTTGCTGTGGTCATAATTCTCATCTTAACAGGTACAGCCACACCTTGATAAAGAGACTGGTTTGGAGCAGGGGTAAATGTTCCGTGACAGGCTCCTATTAGGTTTCTGTCTGTCTGTCTGTCTGTCTGTCTGTCTCTGTCTCTGTCTCTGTCTCTGTCTCTGTCTCTGTCTCTGTCTCTGTCTCTGTCTGTCTCTATCTCTTTCTCTACTTGTTTCTGTTGCAGCCATAATCCGGGGCCTTGTGCATAGAAGGCAAGTGCGCTGCTACTGAGCCACACTCCTAAGACTTAAGACCTCTTTATTTTTTCCTTGTCTTTAGGGCCCCTGATTTTTTGTTTGTTTTTCTAATTCACACAGACATCCCTATTCCTAATCACTTATAGATTCACGCAGGATTGGCTGAGTTCTGTGCCATTTAATTAAAAGGAATCTCAAGTGTTGAGTATAACTGTCTGTGGAATGAAATTCTGTTGGCACTGAAGGTTCTTTGCACAAATGACTCGGGAATAAAAACCCTTCTGATGCAGCGGATGACCATTTGGAAAGAAAAGTGCTCATTTGTCAGCCAGGAAATGTGGAAGGATGAGGTCCAGCTGGAACATTAATGTGTGCCTGGAGGTCTAGGGGCATTAAGAGTGGCTGTGTACTCAACAACTACCAAACACCCTTTTAGTAAATAAGTTACAGACTTTTTCAACTCAAATAGCATTTGATGCAGCCAGTGCCAGCTTCTTGTTCGTCACATTTGCCTGTGTCTCAGCCACTAGGATAGGAGTTTTTCTTCTTGGAACATGTCCTATATGTATATGAGACTGAAAGGCGGACGAATTTTCATCTGAGGTTAGTAAATCTTGGACAAGTTTTAAGAACAACATGCCTTACCGTCCACACTGTGTAATTGAAATAATTTTGCACAGGCCAGTCTTGGCAGTATCTGTAGGCTAGGCTGGCAGAAATATGTATCAGAAAATCATTTTGCTCTACTGTACTGACATTCTCATTTTCATAAACATGAGAGGGAGGGACACTAAAGAAAAGTTATATTGCAGCCCGATGACATCTTCATCCTAAGATTAATTACTCAATTCTTTCCTAACATCTGTATTTCAGAATTCAATCTAGCATGTACAGCAATTTTTATTTTAAAATGTATAAAAGGCTTCCATGGCAGGGAGAAAGTCTCAAATCCTGACTGTGGCTGAACAGTGTGTGGCCCCTTTTCATGCTTGCCATGGCTCCTAGCCGTGTGTGTCCACCAGCTTTCTGTTACAGTGTCACAGGTCAGAGATGCTCATCTACATATCGTGGTGGGAGTACATGGTTGAGAAGAATCATTCACTTGGTGGCCAGAATGTGAAAGAGAGAAAGAGGAGGGGACTGGGGCCCCACAGTCCCCTTCCAGGGCACGTGCCCAGATACCTGAAGACTTCTCGCTAGGCCACGCCTCTAAAGCCCCATTTCCCAGGAGTGACACATATGTCTTTGAGGGGCACTTAAGATCCAAACTTTAGCAGCATGGAAGTCCCTAAATGGTGTGATCACCCTAATGTGGTCCTGGGGTACTCCTCAAAGATGGTGTTGTCATGAGGTTCCTGGGCCATTTTATCACTTGGTTGATCTTTTTGGTTGCGTCTTGTTTTGATTTTAAATGCATTCACAAGCTGGAGCTAATGTGGCTTAGACCTATAAAACTTTTTAGTGCTGGGGCTTGAACCCAAAGCTTTCACACTGAGTTATATTCATGTCCCCCCCTTTTTAAAAAATTTAAAATAGGGTTTCTCTTAAGTTGTTAAATTGTCAGGTTTAGCTTGTAATTCTCCTGCCTTAGCCTCCTAGAGTATTGAGATTATGGGCATGCGCCACTATACCTGGCTTAGACATTCTTCTGAATGTACTGTGTCCAATGGGGAACCATATGTATCAGTGATTCAGAGTGAGAACCCTTGTTCCTGCCAACATGACTAACGTCCCAGAGTAAATCTGAATAATTTCCTCATTTGAAAAACTTTCATTTTACCAGAAAACTGTGCAGGTATCTCCTTCTTGGAGGAAATAAACTTACATCCTTTCCAAGAGATGGGGGGAAGTTCTATACAGGTTGAGGGCCCCTCTGTCCTCTGCCAGGGACTTGCTGTCCGTAGGAGCTGCTCCTTGGTCCCTTGTGGGTGGTTTTTTCAATTCCCAAGGAGGTCCAGATAGCGAGGGAAGCATCCCGTGGACTTCGGTCATTTAGGCCCTTGCCACTAGGATGGATAACTCGGCCTCTATTGAGAGGCTCATGGACATCTTCGGAGGTTTGGTGCTGTTTGTGTTCTTTTCTGTCATCTTCTTCTTGATGTCCTCATTGCCATCCTCAAAGTGACCTACTAGTATGTGGTTAATAAGTTAGGATTTTCTGTCTCTGCCCTCCTCAGGACTTTTAACCATTGGCGTAAAAGAGTCAGCTATGGTCAACAAAATATTCACCTGTATCAATGTTCTGGTCCTGGGCTTCATCGTGGTGTCAGGATTTGTGAAGGGATCCATTAAAAACTGGCAGCTCACGGAGGAGAGCATCTTGAATGAGTCTAGCCATGGGTGTCTCAACAAGTGAGTCATTTCTTCTTTCTCTTGGCATGTAACAGTTCTCCATATTTGATTTTTAGCACCATGTACACATATTTGGGGATATAGTTGACTAGGATAATGTGTACCCTTATAAATACACAATTCAAAATTTTTTTTTCACTTGTTTTGCCTTGTTTTTATTCAGTGATGTTATTGAGGATATTTTGTAAGTGTGGAGTTTGGGTTAAGGTATAGTTCCCTGAACTGGACAGCACATTGCATGACAAGGTGGGTTTTCAAGACCATCATTTCAACTCCAAATTGTTGTTACAGTCCTTAAGAATCTTTCTTCTTCATATTTGATTATATGACTGGCCTTTAAATTTTTTATTTAAAAGATATTCTCTGTATTTTTAAATACCTTCCTCTGACATGAGTAACATACGGGGAAGATGAAATAGGTGGAACTCGGATTAAAGGGTCCTTCTGCACATTTGGTGAGGTACACAGAGGCCCCATCACTCTGGTTTCTGATTCAGGACACTCAGAGCTTGAGGGGGATGAAAGCCAGCTGTCTATCCTGAACTCTCCAAGGCCACTGAGGAAGCCCACACCCCCGCTCCAACATGCTCCTGCTGTGTAGGAAACAGGGCCAAATAATTGTACTTTGTCTTTTAGATATTCTCCGTCAGATTTTTAGATGAGTTTTTTGTCTCAGGATGGAGAATGGGAAGTTGGGTTTTTCTGTGATTCTGTCTTTAAGGTGAAAGGTGAAACTGCTATGATACAGATACCCTGAGTGAGATGCAATGGTGGCCCGCATGGGGACCCAGATGCCTTTCACTTTGTTCTGTCATCCCTGACAGCAGCTTTTGTTGTCCTCTTTTGCCTAGAATATAGGAAAGCAGTCCCTAGCTTTCCAGAAGTGAAAAGAGTATGGGTAGGGAGCACGCCCACGGCTTCTGAGGACAGACCAGGAAGGCTGTCCCGTTGCCTGCATTCCATTGGCAGAAACTAAGTGGGCAGCCACATCTAGCTGCAAAGGATGCTGAGAAGTGCTATCCCACACTGGGCACATCAGCACTCATAGCCACCAAGTCAGTGGCTAGGTCTGGGGCAGGTGTCCAGCCACTTCTCCCAGGGCTCTGATGAGTGAACAGTCACACAGTATGTGTGACTGTTTCACTCCTTACACCCGCAAAGTGTTGAACTGGATGCAGGAAACCTCACTAATACTATAATTTTGTAGTTATGAATTCAAACAAAAATAAGTCCCTCCTAAACACTTGAATTCAAATGAAAATAGGCTTTCTCTCTTAAACTCTGCAACAGCAAAACAGGGCTTTTATCATATCATTTCTAAGCATTCCAGTGTTGTCTGTATGCCAAATTTATTGGTACCCATTAATTCAAGGTAGAATGAAGCTAACTCAGAAGATGCTTTGAACTACTGCCTCAGACTCTGAATACTTGAAAAGTGGATTTTACTGGATGTAGTTTCGGGTCAGCAGTGAAATACCAAGGGCTCCTCTTGCTTCCTGGTTGCTATTTGAGAGTTTGTATCATTATTTTTATCGAGATTGTATCTGCTATTTGCCTTCACCAGTCACCCTCGAACTGAGTGTGCTAGCAATGTCTAAAGTGTGCTGGCCATTTAGATAAAGTGGTGTTTGTCACCCCAGCGCGTGGGCCATAGGTGAGGCCCTCATTTCCATCTGAAGACCTGTTGTTGGGGATCTAAGGACCAGCCACTTAAAGAGGTGAAATTCTGCAGACCTGGAGCACAGCTGGCTCTTATTTCATTCTCATCTGCTCTTGGCTTTTGTTTTTGCCTGCTATAGATTTGTGTTTCCAAGAACAGCCGTGTATTCTTGCATGAAATTGCTTGTCCCTGGGCAGTCACTGGGCATTTCCTGACCAAATCATGTGTCATGCAGGAGTGTCAGCCTGCGTGGTGGGAGGCTGCTTTGACTACACTGGGTTTGGAATTTTCTGGTATCGTTTTCTTTCCATGGCTTGCAGGGAACTCTTTGAACCTGAGTTAGTCTGTCTCTAGGTCTAGGGTTGGGGTGTCACCTACAGTTAGAGTGGGCTTCTCCCTGCCTCAATTCGTGCCACCTCTGGCCTTCTTATCCAGGAAATGGGTAACATAGGAAGTAAGAGTGACACGAATTTATGCTGTGTAAAGCCTATTGAGGATTTTTAGGATAGCGTGTGCCCATTAGGATATAAACCCCAAACTAGTGTTGACTTCATAAGATGAATGCTCTTCAGACAGGTGGACAGGGTCAGTCCAGCACATCTGTTACCTAGCCCAAGAATCTTCTCCTTCCATCTCACGGTCTTCGCCATGGCCTGTGTTTCCAAGGCCACTTGGATTCAGGGTGGCTGCTCCTCCTGCTCCAGCTATCAGGGAAGAAAAGTAAAGAGCACCTTCCCAGCCATCAGCCTCGCGCATTACTCTGCCGTGTTTGCTGTGCCCCATTGCTGCGCCCACACACAGCTGGAGTCTGTTATTGTGTAGAAGGGGGAATGCAGCTGGTAGGGATGACTGACAGGCTCTATCAGGGTAGCAGGTGGCTTAAGTTAGGACTTTGGAGACTTGGTGAAGTACATTTACTATTAATTTGGTGGGGGCAGGCCACTTGAGAGAGACCTGCCCCTGGCCTCACACCCTACTATGCCAGTCATTCTTGCTAAGGGTCAGTTAAGTGGAAGGTAGCAGAGCTGGTCATCCACACTGCAGGGGAGAGAGCACTGCCCTAAGGCTGGGGTTTGGGTCCACAGTGTTATGAGCTGACATTGGCCAGGAGGTGGCCCAAGCAGTGTCCCCAGTCCTTCCTGGATAAGCCACCAGGTGGCGAATGGACCCACCCCCACATGTATGTACCACATTAGGATTGGTTCTCTGTGAAGAGCCTTTGAAAACCATTTCTACATGTCTTGCTTTAAGGCCCTATGCAATGGATTCTGGATTTATTTTATATTTATGCCCTGTGACTGAGATCATAGGGACCACTTAGACTTAATTTTTGATTAATACAAAAAAATCACACAGTTCTTCAGTCATAGTGTTTCTAAAGAGCTTTTCATGAAGAAATCTTGTTCCATTCCTTCCTTTTCATCCCCTGCTCTCACAGTGAGTGGCTGTCTTTATTCTGTTTGTGGAGAAGTTTCCAGGTTTTTTTTTTTTAATATAAAACAAGCAAATGCAGGTGCATATTTTGTCTTTTTTTGCCTCTGACCTTGTTCTCTTACCAGTGCTCCCTTTGTGTATCAGGACCTGTCACTGAGGTCTGAGGAGCAGGTGCAGTGGCGTCACTGTCAAGAGAGCTGGGTCCCAGCTCCGGGAGACACTTGCCCTTTGTCCCATCAGCTTTGGGGTGTCTGACTGCCCTGTGTCAGTCCTGAGGAGCCAGTAAGCTGCTTTCCCCTTCGCCTTCTCTGACAGTGAGTCATCCAGAGCTCTTCTTCGCTGTTTTTCTCACTTATTTTTCTGCCTCTGCATCACTGAGGAGTGGTGCAGCCCTCACTCCCCTTCTGCCAGTCTCACCTCTGGTGTAAGGACTAGCAGCGCCCTGCACGTTGCTCTTGCATCTGATGCTCGTTGTTTCTGTTCCAGGCCATCTCTGCAGCTGTGGACCTCAAGCTGAGGGGCACTTGGGGATGCTGTGGCTGACTAAAACAGTTTAGCCATAGTTTCTGTTTTGGAGACTTGAGTTACTTACTGGTCATTTCAGGATGGTGGGTGGGGACAGTGTCTCTGGCTGGCGCCTCTGTGTCTCCGTGTTCCTGTGGGTTTTGGGGAGGAGGATATGGACCAATGGTGGTTGGACCCCGGCACCCCCATCTTTCCCTACAAATCATGGACAAGGTACTTTTGGAGCAGGGGATGGTGTGTGCCGTCGCAGCTCTGGGCCTGCTGCCCTTGGAGTTGGAGTGTGTGCACTGAGGACTGTGATGCAGGCTCTGCAGCCCCTGGGCCTGGCTGCAGTAGCGGGCTAGGGTGACTGATGACACAGCAGGTGCTGTGATCTTTGACTCTGGATTTTTCTTCCCCCTCTAGTGAAACAAAATTGGAGAAACTAGGTGTTGGTGGATTCATGCCTTTTGGGTTCTCTGGTGTCCTGTCGGGGGCAGCGACCTGCTTCTATGCCTTCGTGGGTTTTGACTGCATTGCTACCACTGGTATGCGCCCCTCGCTGCCATCCCTGGCCCCCCATTGTATGGATGACATGGGAGGGAGACCCCTACTATCCAAGGCCAGAATGTCCCTTCCTGCTCCAGTTGTCACTGCTGCACATGGAAATCACAGGAGGGGTTATAGTTCTCTGCTGATTTATCTCGCCCTACCTCTTTTATCATCACTTCCCTGAGTGGTGGTGCCTGATAGGGTACTATATCTTGAACATAGCTAAGAGCGCTGGCATCAAACCAGATAGTGACAGCATGGCTACAGCCTGGTTGGCTGTCTGTGTCATGTGGGAGAAATGAGGACTTTGAAAATAATGTCAACCTGGTTGACTGATGTTCAGACCAGATATTCTCAGCCAAGGGAAACATGTCTCTCCTTTAGTTGGGCCTCAGTGTAATAATCAAGAGCCATCCTAGGACTGGGACCCCAGAGGCTGTTTGGTTTTTTACCAAGAGCCCTCTCTGCATCAGGAAGCTGCAGACTGAATATTCCAGGATGGCTGACCCTGCTGGTGGGTGGGTGGGTGGACGCAGTGCCTTCTGCCCTCTGACTCTTGCTGCTTCCAGGTGAGGAAGTCAAGAACCCCCAGAAGGCCATCCCCGTGGGTATTGTTGCATCCCTCCTCATCTGCTTCGTCGCATACTTTGGTGTATCTGCTGCCCTCACACTCATGATGCCCTACTTCTGTCTGGACACCAACAGCCCCCTGCCAGATGCCTTCAAGCATGTGGGCTGGGAAGGCGCCAAGTACGCGGTGGCCGTCGGCTCCCTCTGTGCGCTTTCCACCAGGTGAGCAGCTTCCCTCCTTCCCGCCACTGCTCTTCTCACTCCTCACTCCTCACAGGGCTGGCTTTCCAGAAGATATAAGCCTAGGGAGGCCCGTGGGAGTCAGCACTCAGGCTGGAACGCCTTTTTCTCTTGAGATTTGACCAGCGCGCCAACTCTGCATGTGTCTTTTCCCAACGTTTATTGCTAATAATCATCCTAAGCATTACTTGTGTCACTGATACCATTGTTTCTCTCATTTGTAGGGAGATTCCCTCTAAGACTCTCAGAGGAAGATGTTTCTACTAACATATACATGTCTGTGGAAAAGCTTAATTTACAACTTAGGCCTACTAGGATATTAACACTATCTAATAATACTCCTTTTTTTTTGCACTGGGAATCAAACCAGGACTTCATGCTTGCCAGGCAGGCATGGTGCTACTGAGCTATATCCCTGGCTAACACTATCTAATAATAAAGTAGAATAATTATAACAGTATATTATAATAAGATATGGTCAAAATTATCACCGGTTTATTCTGGAAATTTCCATTTAATATTTTTGGATTATAATGGACCACAGATAAATGAAACTCCAGAAAGCAAAACCATGGAGAAAGGAAGACTGTCGGACTTTTTTACCACACAGATCTGAGGGCCATCTTTTAGGCATGGTCTGCTTAATATAAGTGAAGAGCCTTGTGTTACAACCTTTGACCTCTGGTGCCCTTGACCACCATCTTCTGGCCCTTAATTTTGCTGTAAAGGAGGGGCTACTTTTAGAAAGAGCGCCTTTTACTGGGAAATTTCCTTCCCTGGGATTTGATGTTGACCAGTGTAAATAGGAACTGCTTGCTACGTAGTAATTTGTCACAGAGGATTCCTTCTAAATGCAGTGATGCTCTTATTTCCTGTGTGACTCAGCTAGGTGTAATCGTAAAAGTAATTTGGAGTTTGGAAAGGACCCATTTCTTGGTGAGAAACACCGGGTCCCTTTCAGTGGTAAACTGTACATGGTCTCACATGGTGTCGTTGTTCCTGACAAGCTAGTTTCATGCATGCATTTTTCCCTTTCTCCCTACCTAGTCTTCTGGGTTCCATGTTTCCCATGCCACGAGTTATCTATGCCATGGCTGAAGATGGACTGCTGTTTAAATCTTTGGCCAAAATTAATGAGAGAACCAAAACACCAGTAATCGCCACACTAGCCTCAGGTGCTATTGCTGGTAAGTACCAGAACTTCAGTGTTTTCACCTCCAATATTTTAACAAAAGTTCTTCCCCAGGCAGACATCTGAAACTGTGCCTCTCTGTGAGAAATTGTAATTGCCCTTTTTAACTCTTGATTTTTATACTTGGAACCTCTTTGTTGAAAGATAACTGCCCCTCTGACAAAAGACAAAGATGCCAGTTGTACAGAGGATGTAATAGAATTCTCAGTCATCCTCTCTCCAGGCACACCTTAGAGCACACACTGTCCCTTCAGACTGTCCAACTTCTCTCCGAGTAGATTTCAGCACATTAACATCTTTTTCTTAATTTTACTAATTAATTTTATCGGTACATTTTAGATATACATAATGATGGCATTCACCATAGGAAATTGGTATTTGTGTATAATATATCTTGCTTCTCTTTATTTCCCATTCCCTGCCCCTCCCTTCAACCATTCTTCTTCGTTTCCATTTTTTCCTTCTTCTCTTTCCCCTTCCTTCCTTGTCCCCTCCCTTCTCCTGCCTTCCTTTTACCATGTGAACATTTTCTTCCTATTTGACAATAGCTATCAATACATTCTGGTCCTTATCTACGCTTGGTTCTTCACACCTGAGAAACAATGATATTAATATGTGTGTCTGATTTATTTCACTTAAGAGCATGGTCTCAAGGTGCATCTACTTAGCTAGCCATGTCTCAAGCTTAGCCGTCTTTATGGCAGAGTAACACTTCACTCTATAAAAAACCCACATCTTTGTCCATTGATCAGTTGATGGACATTTGGGCTCTTTCCAAGATTTGGCTGTTACGAACTATGCCACTGTAAACTTGGGTGTGCATATATTGCCGTGGTAGGATGCTTTTCTTTCAGGAAGATATAAGGGGGATAAACAGCTGAGTCAAATGGAATCTCTAGTTCTAGATTTTGAGGAACTTGCACACTGATTTTGGCAGTGTTTGCACCATTCTGCACTACCACCAACAGTGGGAAAGGGCTCCTATTGCTCCACGGCCCCTCCAGCATTGGTCATTGGTTGGCTTCTTGATAATAGCTATTGTTTCTGGAGTGAGACAGAATTTTAGCATTGTTTTAATTTGCATATTTTGAATAATCAGTGATGCTGCACATTTTTCATATGTTCATTTGGTATTTCTACTTTTTCATCTGAGAACTGCATATTCATTCCAGATGTCCAATTTTGCATTGAATCTTTAAATTTGGGGGTCTGATTATTTTGAGGTCTTTATATAGTCTAGGTAGTAGTTCTTTTAGAAACAGCTGGCCAAAACCTTTTCGCACACTGTGGGTTGTCTCAACTCTGTTGGTGGTTTCTCTTGCTGTGAACAAACGTTTCAATAAGATGAGGTCCCCTTGTTGATTTTTTGTGATAGTTCCCATGCAGTCAGAGTTTTATTCATGAAATGTTTGCCCATGCCATTGTCTTCAAGAGTTCTACCATTTTGTCTTCCAGCAGAATTAATGTTTCTGTTTTAATATTTAGATATTTGATATAATTCAATTTTAGCTTAGGGTGTGGTGAAAAGTGTGGGTCTAGTTTTAATCTTTGGCAGATGGAAGGTCATTTTTTTCTAGCACCATTTATTAAGGAGGCTGTCTTTCTTCCAATGAAGGTGTTGCAACCTTTGTCAAAGATGAGGTGGCTGAGTGTGTCTGGAGTTGTTTCTGCATCTTCTAATCTGCTCCACTGATTCTCTTGTATGTTTTGTTGTTGTTTGTTTGTTTTGTTTGGTGCCAGTGATTGAACTCAGGACCTTGTGCTTGCCAGGCAGGTACTTATGTCACTGAGCTATCTCCCTGGTCTCCATGCTGTTTTTTACCAAAGTAGCTTTGTAATATAATTTCAGGTCAGGGATTGTGATGTCCTGCCCACCTTACCTTTGTCCACCAGAATTGCCTTTGTTATTCTAGTTCTCTTCTGGTTCCAAATGAATTTTAGGGTTTTCTCCAATTCTGTGAGATATGCTGTTACAATTTAGATCAGGATTGCATTAAACCTGTATAACAATTTTGCAAGTATGGCCATTTTCACTATATTGGCTCTTCCTACCTAAGAGTAAGGTATATCTTTGTATTTTCTGATCTCTTCACTCTTCCTTTTCAGAGTACTCTAGTTCTCCCCTGAAAAGATCTCTGTAGAGATCTTTTACTTCATTAGAGTGATTCCTAGATATTTCATTTTTTTGGATGCTATTATGAAAAGTGTCCCTGATTTCTCTCCATGAGTTTGCTATTCATATACAGGATGGCTGTGGATTTTTGAGTGTTGACTTTGTGTCTGTCTAAGTTACTGAATTTGGTTATTAAATCTAGAAGCTTTTGGGGATCTTTTATGTAAAGCATCATATCATCTCTGAATAATTTTAATTTAACTTCTTCCTTTCCTATCCTTAGTCTTTTTATTTCTTTTTCTTGTCCAATTACTCTGGCTAATATTTTAGAACTATATGGAATAAGGGGGCGACTAGACATCCTTGTCTTGTTCCTGATTTTAGAATGAAAGTTTTCAATTTTTTGACCGTTTGGTGTGATATTGGCTGTTGGTGTGTCATAGATGGCTTTCATCAGATTGAGATAAAGACAGTTTTTTGTAGGGTTTTTACTGTAAATGGGTATTGGACTTTGTCAAATACTTTTCTGTACCTTTGAGATGATCATGAGATTTTTGTCTTTGGCTCAGTTGATATGGTGTATTACATTTATGGATTTGTGTATGGCGAACCATCCCTCCTGCCCTGGAATGGATCCCACTTGGTTATGGTATAAAATCTTCATGATAATTCGCTGGCTTCTTCTTGGCAGTATTTTATTGAGGATTTTTGCATTTATGTTCATTAAGGAGATTGCCCTGTAGTTCTTTTTTTGTTGTTCTTGGATCCTTTGCTGGATTTAGTCAGGTCACGATTGCTTCTAGGAATGAATTTGGGAGTTTTGCTTTCCTTTCAATTTCATTAAAGAGTTTGAGAAGTAGTGGTATTAGGTCTTCTCAAAATTTCTTATAGAATTAAGCACTGATTCTGTCAGGGCTTGACCTTTGCTTTTGGATAGGTTTTTAACTTGATTTTTAATTTCACTGATTTATATTGGTTTATTTAGGATTTTTATATCTTCTTGTTTCAGCTTTGATAATTCATATGCATCCAGGCATCTATTTCTTCCGTATTTTCCATCTTATTAGAATACAGGTTTTCAAAGTAGTTATCTGTTATGATTTCACCCTTTTCATTCCTAATTACATGGATTTTAGCCTTTTTTTTTCCTTTTATTGATAAGGTTGGCTAAGAGGTTGTTAGTGGCACCTTGATGTCTTGTATTACACAAGCCAAGTGTGACTTGGTTAGTGCCTGACAATCAACTGTGTCTATCTTAATTCATAGCGTCTCTGCAAATAAGTGTCCCTCACAGTCTTTTAAATGTGCCAGCAATTCCATAGGGGATGGTGAGGTTTTTTTCTAATACTGCCCCTAATTTTGTAAATAATAGTAGAGCCAGAGGAAGATTCTTTTGCCCTCCTTTTCCTCCCTGTCTCTATTTAATCTACTGATGCATATGTCTGGAGCAGATATTGTCAGGTTTGTCCCTGAGAGGCCAGTCGTGACCAATGCAGTCACTAAAGAGCCCTCTGAGTGGTGTAGAGTTCTGGGATCCCCAGTGCAGGAAGGAGATGGAGCTCATGCACACTGCTACCTGCTGGTTTATGTTGCGTTGTTTTATGTCTGAACGTTAGAGCCCCAAGAGCCAGGTACCAGCTCACTGTGTAAGAGGAGGAATAGAGGCCACAGAGATACAGAGAGGAGGCATCCCAAGAAGGCAGAGGTAGCTCCTGATTCCTGATTCGTGTTTGTGCCAGAAGCAGCCAGGTTTCTTCCTGAGTTTGAGTTCAGTGGTGGGCTTTTGGGTAAAGTAGGGCTTGTGGTACCAGTCATAATCTGGACCTCAGTGACCCCCAACCGTCTACAATCAACTGATCATTAAATTTTGTTGGGATATATACCTTTTGCAGGTACCTAGTTTTGTGGATTACTGTTACGTGAAAAAAGAAAGCACTTTTTATATATTTAACAAGATCTTTGAATAATTTTCCACCTTTGTGAGTGATCGCAGTGTTGAACTTGAGGGAGGCTGTATGTCAGAGCATGTCCAGAATAATTAAATGGTTAAATAATTGGAAACAGTAATATTTTGCAGCATTTACATGTAATTTGGTCATGTTAAAACTAGCTTCAATTTCCTTTCTGTGCCATTAAAAGGAGATAGAATTATAATCATTCAAGAGAGTATAATGTACACACCATTCACCAAACTAAGGATTTGCTTTCTTTTCATTTGGTGTGAGTATCAGGAAGTACATGTTCTAAAATCACCTCACATGGAAGAGATTTGTTTCAGGTTTCTCTGTGAAGAGGAATGTCGGCATTTGTGGCATGCACAGTTGGATTCTTCTCTAATTATCCAAAGGCCGTTGTTGCTCTTTAATCGTATTATTTATCCTCAATTTAAGTTTCTTTGACTTGCAGTGATCAAGAGCAGCTTCAGAGGCATTTGTGGACAAAGAATAGTTTCATGTTTGTTTTAGCTTGTAGTAAGTGCATATGTTTTGAAAATATTTCAAAGTAGGACTTGGCAAGTTATTCAAATGGGAAATTTGACGTACATAGCAACATTAAATAAAAGCATGTATGCTTATAAAAAGGTTTTCAGATAAACATGCATATATACATCATCATCATCATCATCTTTATTATCATTATTTGCAGTACTGGGGATTGAACCCAGGGACTTGCACACATGAGACAAATATTATACCACTGAGTTATACACTCACCTCAAGCATGCATATTTAATCATTAAAACTGGTATGTGTGTGTATGTTGTGTGTGT